AACTTGTAAATTCTACACTAATTCAACAAGCGTAGCATTAACTTCGGTTTTAACTTCAACTGTAAAATTGCTAACAAATTTCAAGAGTGAGATAAAACATTATTTCGCGTTACCTTAACTTGTTAAATTGCTACATTTTCAACAAGTGTAAGCATTATTCGGTTTAACTTCACACTTTGTAAATTGCTACAAAATTTCAACAGGTAAAGATAAAACAATTATCTCGGCTTAACTTCAACTGTAATTGGCTACAAATTTCAACAAGCGTTAAGCATTACTTCGGTTTAACTTCAACTTGTAAATTGCTACAAATTTCAACAGGTAAAGATAAACAATTATCTCGGCTTAACTTCAACATTGAAATTGCTACAAATTTCAACAAGCGTTAAGCATTACTTCGGTTTAACTTCAACTTGTAAATTGCTACAAATTTCAACAAGTGAAGATAAACAATTATCTCGGCTTAACTTCAACTTGTAAATTGCTACAAATTTCAACAAGCGTTAAGCATTACTTTCGGTTTGAACTTCAACTTCGTAAATTGCTACAAATTTCAAATAGGTAAGATAAACAATTATCTCGGCTTAAATTCAACATGTAAATTGTACAAATTTCAACAAGCGTTAAGATTACTTCGGTTTAACTTCAACTTGTAAATTGCTACAAATTTCAAAAGTGAAGATAAACAATTATCTCGGCTTAACTTCAACTTGTAAATTGCTACAAAATTTCAACAAGCGTTAAGCATTTACTTCGGTTTAACTTCAACTTGTAAATTTACTATAAATTTCAACAAGCGTTGAATGCATTCTTCTTCTCTCTCCCCCCCTAGTGTGAACTTAAAATCCACTTGGGTCTTCATCATACATGTAGCTTCGACCTTGTCGCCGAGGTTTAATTCAAGCCGAGGTTGTCGGCCTTGGTTTCTCTATTGATCTTACTTGGTCCAACCTGAGTTTGATTTTCGGCCTCGCAATCGACAGCCGTTTCTCTTTTCTGTTCTGACGGCCTTTGTTCCGACATGTCCTCCTCGCCCTAGCATACTTCTTCAATTATGGCCAACTTTAGTCTGATCTTGTGTGTTTCCTTTTATCTTCTGGATCTGAGATCTGCTCATTGTGCTCTTCTCTTCTCGACTCAGGTCCCGAGATTCTTATCTTCTGGAATCTTGGATCTGCTCACTCAGGTGAGCTTTCTTTTTCTCGGACCTACTCCATCTAGGCCGAGATCATGTCTTTCTAGGATTTTGGGATCCGGGATCTGCTCACTCAGGTTGAGCTCTTCTCTATACTTGAATGTTATCTCTTGGGAGCGCTCATGTCCTCGCTGTCTTTGCATCCCTTCTGGAAGGGTCTTCGTTCCTCCGCAGTATCTATCCTCCATACCTGGAGGTCATCTTCGTTGTAGTATCCACTTCGATCTGTTGTCTTTGGTGCGTTACCTTCCTGGCTGGCGTCTTTCACTCCGTGACTCTGGTCACGATTTCTATGTGTGCGGTCGTCCTTCAACGTCGCAGATCGATAGGTCTCCCACTCCCAGCAGCAGCATGTCTCTAATCTAATCCTTTTGTCCGTCATTGGCCATCTATTCTCTTCTTTCATGGCCTCTATCTTTCTTTCTTTCCTTGGCCATCTATTCTTCTTTCTTTTCCACAGACGGCGCCAAATTTGTGTGGTGATTTTCTGACCACACTGCCCGCTTAGTAACCTTACTGGAGAGCACCGGCAGAATAGATGGCACCTGGCTGACCTGCAACAGAAAGAGAAGATTCCGGCAGTGGTTCGTCCCCCCGGGGGCACTCCGACGATCAAGTCAGTATATCTCTCAAAGATAAATCAAGTGCTAAACTCACAAGCTTGAGTATCAAAAGCATACCTTAGACCCATGGGGGTGCCTCTCTTTTATAGCCAACATAAACCTAGTCCCAATAGAAGCCTAACTTCTATGGACTCAGGATTACTGCTAATCTTGGACTCCCAGTAAGATTAGGATAAACTCTCCAAGAGTCTTATCTTTACCCAAACTGAAGTCTTCTCCTAATCTAGAACTCTTGTCCATATCTAGGTTGAGTTCCCTCTTTATTCTAGGACTCGTCCTTTATCCGCTTATCTTGGATTCCGATATCTTCGGAGATAACCTCGGCCTTGCCGAGATCACCTCGGCGTCACGACCAGGACACGTGGCACCTCGACTGACACGTCGGCGTCACCTTGCCACCTGTTGGTACTCAGAAAATATATCCCCACAGTAATATATATTGACAAGCCAGTAAGTTAAAAAGGAAAAAAAAATTGTATGATTTATTATTTCTATACATTTATATCACACAAAATTTTCTTCTTACTTTGGTAGAGTGGTGTCTTTGTTTTTTTTTTTTTTACTTTTTTTTTTATTTTGTATTGAGAGAGTGTGAGGGAAATAAATAAATAATACATGTTTTTATCTAGCTTCTAATTACAAATTTATTCAAAGTTTATTAAACACACTCACACACACAAAATATTGCAAATATCATAATCGCATATTCTACAACATAAACTTATAAACCTTGGGGTTGGCTTAGCGGGTACAACTTGAAATTTGGGGGTGTGATTCCTCCATTTTATGAGAAAAAATTGTGACATCTAAATTTAAATATGGATTAATTACCAAAAAGTCCTATCTACATATTTGGTGATAGCTTAGGTCTTGTCAAAACGTTTTTGAACCAATAAATCCCATTTATAGGTAAAAAGACGTTTTGCTCTTTAATCCCAAAACTGATAATGTTCTCAATTTCAAAACTGAGAATGTTCTCAATTTTCAAAACAGAAAATGATTTCAGTATATAATTATCAAAACTAAGAAATTTCTCAATTTTTTTGGTGCTTTTGGTGTGGTGCTTCTAGTATTAATTGAGAATATTATCAGTTTTGAGAAATTTCTCAATTTCTTTTATGATTAAAATTGAGAATATTATAAATCTACTCTCTCTCTTTTACATTTACGTTCTCCTCCTCCTTCTACACTTTCCAGATCTGGAAATCTCCTAATTTAGTTCTAGATCTGGTTCGAGATGTCGAGCTTCACAGCAGCTTCGTCTATCACTAATGGCCATTGAACATGACCAACTCAACGGTGGTGACGAGACAGATCAGCAGCGATGGAGAGAGGTAGATCTGTTCAGAGGCAGATCAACAACAACCTCAACCTCACGCGTAAGCGGAGGAGGACATAGCCATCATCGAATCGTTCGAGACCTGTACTTCATTGCACTGAAGAATTGATCTCGAGAGCCACTGATTCAACCCTTACTGCTGCTGTTGCGACGTGGTCGTCGAATCAAAGTTGGTGTGTAAATTGAGGAAATTACCGTCACTGTACTGGTTCTGCTGTCGGAGAATCGCGCTGTTAAGCCATGTCGGTCCAATACCAACTTGTTGTGTTGTCTGTTAGTGGTGGTGCTCCTGCAGATTTCTGACGAACTGGCCGAGTTGTTCAGGCAATATAGTTCGTAGAACCGACGTGTTCTCGGCTAAGAGAGAGAGAGAGAGAGAGAGAGAGAGAGAGAGAGAGAGAGAGAGAGAAAGAGTAAGAGAGAGGGAATGAAGTACAACAATGGATGTTTGGCAGCTATGGAGGAGGTCTTGGAAGAGTAAATTAGTCTATTAAAAATTAATGGGACTTGAAGGAACAAATAATTTTATTTAGGACTTAATGAATTATAAATTCACAAAATGAGACTTGTATGTAAATGCCTCTTTAAATATTTTACATAAGCTTATTTGTGTGTCTTTGTAAACATTTTAACACCTTCTATACTATTTTATATATTTAAAATGTGTCATTTTAAAGCTTCATGCTCCATTGATAAGGAATAAAATTAGAGAATAATAAAAAAAATAAAAAGGAATGGAGTGATTTCTCATCACTTTTTAGAAGATATGTTATTTCCAATTATCCACTTTATATATTATTACATTAGATTTTATTCATTAAGTCAATCAAAGCATGTTGTAATTTTTCTCAATTAACACCTTTGAAAATGTTGACTTTGTTATTTATTTTATCTTAGGAATAGTTAACTTTTACAAAAATTCAAACTTCCAACCAACTAATCTTCCTCAAATTGATACTAATAATAGCTGTTATTTACATTAATATATGTAAATCTAGTAATATAAAATTATTAACACAATATGCATTATTCTTACAAATTAAAAATTGATAATCAATAAATTGAAATTAAAAGTATTCATTTCTTAACTTCTACATAGTCTTTTAAAATTATTTTTGATTCATAAATTGTGAACAAAAGTTGCATCAAATACTTTAATAAATTTCTTAAAATAAAATAAAATAAAAAATTATAAATGACTTTAGGTTGGGTTTGGAAATTATTTTTTAGCCTTTTTTTGTTGATTTTTTTCCGTCTTCAGTTAACCATTTCAAAATAAATATTAAAAAAAAACTCTTCACTTTTAAGACTTACTAGACGAGTGGTCTACTGGCCAGAGCTTGTCTATACATATATATATTCATACTATTATATTAAGTAAACATGTTCCGTGATATTCTAATATTTTTTCTCTCCTTATGACAAGTGTTCAATTCTCTATCCAAAATAAAATAAAGTGGATAGAAAAGAGAGTGAGACTTGAACCTAAGCAAATAATACTCTTATACTAATGTCTTTCTTTCATTAATGAAGGATTTCTTTTTTATTGATCAAAAAATATATATATATATATATAATAAGTTTTTTATTTTATTTTTACTTATTTAAATTACACAAACCACATCACATCTACCAGTCACTTTTAATTTTGCAGGCAATATGCATGTCTCCCCTTCACATGGGAAAAATGATATCCAATAACCCCAAAATCATTTTCCTTTCATGTAATGCCGCATGAAGGCTGCTTTTAACAAATGGTCAATAAAAGTCTTTTTCACTTGCCTATAAATAGCTCTACAGTACACCACAACCACCATCTTCATTTTCTCATAATAATATTTGATATTATCTTTGCTCCCTTTCTCTCTCCACTGAGATCATGGCTACCAATACTGCCAAACAGGATGTGATTCGACGATCAGCAGGTTACCATCCTAGCATTTGGGGGGATCACTTCCTCAATTACAATCCTCACAACACTGTAAGCCCATTCATATAAATATATATTTTGACAAATTTCATTTATTTCTATGTGGTATAAAGGCTATTTCACTACAAGAAAAAGCATCTTTGGCGACCAAAATTCATTTTTAGTCGCCAAAAGTCGACTTTTTAGTTTTCCCAACTAAATTTTTTAGTCGCCGGTTTTGTCGTGAAAACACGGTCGGGGAAGGTATTGGCGACTAAAAAAGTTTTAGTCAGCAAAAAATAGGTCTTTAGCAACCAAAATTTTGATCGCCAATAGTCAATTACACTTTTTAAAGTTATACATTTACCGACTAATCTTTTAGTTGCCAATAGTCAAGGAATCGCCGACCAAACCTTTTAGTCGCCAAAAGCAACACTTTTAGCGACCAATAATTTTTGTCGCCATAAGTCGTTCCGTGAAAAAAAAAAATATTAACTTTTCTTCCGTTGAGATTCAAACCACCAACCTCCCACATTCTAAACCTTAAACAACACACTATCTCCACTATGCCTCTATAACACCACATGATTATATATGCAACATATATTATTTATATAGTATATTGGCCTGTATTAATATAAAACTATATATATAAACATAATTATTTTTATTCAATATAATTTATGTAAAAAATAAATTATTCACTAAAAAAAAAGGAGACCACTTTTGGCGACTAAATCTGTTTTTTAGTCGCCAATTCTATACTTTTGGCTACTAATTATTTTTTAGTCACTAAAAAAATTAATTCCTGCCTAAAAATAACCACTTTTAGCGACTAAACTTATTTTTAGTGGCCAAAAACCTCCACTTTTGGCGATTAAACTGAATTTTAGTCGCTAATTGTAGACTTTTAGCTACTAAATTTTTTTTAGTAGCCAAAAAGCTTCACTTTTGGCTACAAAATTTATTTTTGTCGGTAAAACACGTATAATCGGCGACCAAACTATTTTTTAGTCGCTAAAACCTATACTTTTGGCTACTAAATGTTTTTAGTCGCCAAAAACCTTTACTTTTGGCTACTAAAATTTTTTTAGTCGCTAAAACCCGTATAATCGGCAACCAAACTGATTTTTAGTCGCCAATACGTATACATTTGGCTATTAAATTGTTTTAGTCGGCAAAAGTCTTCACTTTTGGCTACTAATTCCATTTTAGTCGCCGAAAATGCCACTTTCAACGACGAAAGGGGATTTTTTAGTCGCCAATTCTGTTTTTTCTTGTAGTGTTTACACATAATAATAATAATAATAGTGATCATCTGAAAACACCTACTTAACTTTACGTGGGTTGTGTAACAAAATGCTCTTTTAATTGCTTAATCAATTTTTATTTTTCCCTCATTTTTTGCTGCTATTTTCTTCTATGCTAAATTACACTTTCAACTCTTTTAATTTGACTCAAATTTATTTTAATTGTTATTATTTTAAATTAAATAATTTAATCTCTATACTTTTAAGTTTAGTTTTAGTTTGGTCATTTGTTATTTGAACCCAAAAGTTTTGGACCTAAAGTTATGGAGGGACCACACCTCTAAATTCTACGCCTGAACTATCAGACCAACCATTGGTGGTGTTAAAATGAGAGCTAATTGAGAGCTCGAAAAACAAGCTCTGATGAGCTGGAAATACATATAAAAAAAAAAAAACCAAACATCAAAACCTTTGGGGGGGGGATCATTGGGTGGGTGGGAGCTCATTAGGGCTCCTTATTTAGTGCTCTCAAGCATTTCACAATTAAAATTTGAAAAATGATTTGAACCTCTAAAAAAACATCTCTAATACACCTCTAATTTGTTTTTTTCTTTTCCTATTTTTGTCTTTTACTTCACAGTTTTTTTTTTTTTTTTAATTCCCGGACAGCTCATTAGAGCTGTACGGAATGACCTCTAATTAGAGATCCGTAGCAAGATTGTTAAAATTTAGGATTGACATGAAATTAGAAATGCAAATGACACTACAAAAAATTAAGGATTTAGAGATCATGATTTAGAGACAAAATTATTTTTTAGGAGCTAAATATTTTTGTTACAAAAAATGTCGTCATTATATTTTTAGCAACGAAAATTGGACATTAGTGATAAATTATTATCATTTTTGGACCAAGTTTTTTGTCTAAAAAAATAAATCATTTTGAAACCAAATTATTTTGTTCCAAAAAGTCTATTTATTAGTGATATTTTTAAAATTTTGTCGCTAAAAGCATTATTTTTGACTTTTCGAGACGACTTTTTAGTGACTATTTTCACGACGATAGTAATTACTCCCTAAATGTCTTTTGTAACAAAATTTTTACTTTTAGAGGCCAAAAAATTAAATTTCTAGAACTCTTATATGTTGTAGTGTGAGATGACGACAGGTGTTGTAATTTTTTTAATTTTTTTGATTATTATTTCTTTTTACCTTATAAGGGAGATAGACGATGGCTTCAAATACTACAAATTTAAAATTTTATGATTTTATTTGAAAATATTAAAAATTTAAAGTTTAATTTGTTAGAAGAGTTAAATCTTGGAAGTTTTTTTAATAATTTTTTCAAAAAATTATTTTGGAAAACATGTGCTTTTTTTCAAAATGTTTGGTATAAATAAAAATAATTCAAAAAAATTAATTATCTAGAAATGAAAGAGAGACGTTTTAACCTTTTTGTTATTATTGATTTTTAATTTTTTTTTAAAAAATACAATTTTCCATGCATTCATGTGCTTCTTCTTCTTCTTTTTTTTTAAGAATGTTTGGTATAGTTTAAATAATTTAAAAAAAAATTGATTATCTAGAAGGTGAAAGAGAGACGTTTTTAACTTTTTTTTTTTTATTATCGATTTTTAATTTTTTTTAAAAATACGATTTGCCATGCGTGCAACGTGTTGTGTAATTCACATGTTGGACTTCAGTACGGTTTAATTCAACGTACTTTCCATTCAACCGACTTTTCCATTGGACAATATTTTCATTCAACTCCAACCTTTTTGGAAAACAAACTCGCCGATATAATGGTTGTTTGGAAACAGCTAAATAAATATTGTATTTTTAATTTTTTTTAAAAAAAAGATATAAAAAAAAATAAAGAAAGCATATGACTCAAAAAAGATATTAAAAAAAAATTGCACTTTTTTGTACTAGCATAACAACCCTATAATAAAGCTCAAAAAAATAATAAATAAATAAATTACTGACAAACTTGATTGAGGAGCATTCTTTACTAATGTTCTGTTTATTAGGGTAAAAAATATTTTTGAAAGAATATTTTTTTTGTGTTTGGTGGTGGTAGTGATGGAACGAATGTAGAGGTGGAAGTGGTGGCATGGTGGGTGATGGCGGTGGTGATAGCGACGGTGATAGTAGTGGTGGCCGCGATGATGGTGATGGTAGGCGTGGTGTGGAGATGAGAGTGGTGCTAGTGGTGTGATGACATTGGTAACATTTTAGTTCGAAAATTATTTTTTACCTTTTAAAAGTTAAAAATATTTTTTTGTCTAAAGAGGCTTATTTTTATTAATAATGAAAAATATTTTCCGTTAACTTTTGTTTTTTATTGTACCAAATATCAAAAAATTAAAAAAAAAATACTTTTCAACCAAAAAAACGAAGTGCAAAAATAATAAGATTTGTTCTGCTATGAAAAAAAAAATTAATTTTTTAAAATGTGACATCTAATATTTATTAGAGATTCATACTCCACATTGTGGATCTTTCCCAAATTTTATTTAGGGAAAATTAGTAAAACATCTCTCTAATTTTGGGCGGTAGGGAAGGTCCAATATATTTTTTTTATTAGCTAAGGTACTTCAATGAAATTTCTTTGTAATCATACAAAAGAAATTTTGAAATTTCTTTGTGAAATCAGAGAAATTTTGTCTGTGTCAGGGGGGCAATTTTTCTATGTCGAATTTTCTTTATGAAAATATTGAGAGATCTCAACTACTATAAAAAATATTATGTCTTTTTTCTTATAAAAAAGACACAAGGTAAAATATTAATAAAATATTCACTATTGTTTTTTATTAATTCCCAAAGGAAAATAATTTTTCTAAAATTTTATACAAGATGACATGATAGTGACTTTTTATAAATAAATATGTATTAAATTATTAACCACTCATTCATCTAAAAACTTAAATTGCTATTGCCTAATATTATATTAAACTGTTAATCACTAATTCATTTAAAATTTTAAATTGTTAGAAACATAAGTAACTTTATTATTTATATTATAATATTAATTGATGGTTTTTTAAAAAAATAAAAAAATAAAAAATAAAAATTGATAGATCCATGACTCAACGTATCATATTATATATATACAAACAAAAACAACAACGCCTAATTAATACACATTAATGTATATTTGTGAGGGGAAAGATTGAGTACACACCTAACATTTAGCATAAATATATTATATTATATATCATACTATATATATATATATATTATTTATTTATTTGTTTTTGTTTGTAACTCATTACTTACTTTCAAAATTATGCAGGAACCAAATCAGAAGGAAGAAGGGAGAGTGAAGGAACTTAAAGATGAGGTGAGAGGGATGCTAAGTGATGCAAGAACTGAACCTTTGAAAGAAACATTGATCCTTATCGATTCACTCCAACGCCTTGGCTTGTCATATGATTTTGAGTATGAGATTGAGCAAGCGCTCCAATCAATTTACAGCACTCAAATCAACTATGGTGGTGGTGATGATGATGATCTCTATATGTTTGCTCTCTGTTTCAGACTTTTTAGGCAACAAGGTTATCATGTTTCTTCTGGTAAGTTTCCAAACACCACAAACTCTTGTAGCTGACTAAGCGATCATGTTTCTTATGTGTTTTTTTTTTTATCCCCAACTAGATTCAGTTAAAAAGTTCACAGATGAGAAAGGTGCGTTCAAGTCAGTGCTAAAAGAAAATGCAAGAGCTTTGCTATGCTTATATGAGGCATCACATTTAAGGGTTCAAGGGGAAGATATATTGGAAGAAGCATTGAAATTTACAAGCAAGCACTTGAGGTCTATGTTAGCCCATCTAAACTCTCCTCTCTCTGAGGAAGTTACGCACTCGCTAGAAGTACCTCTCCACAAAGGAATGCCCAGATTAGAGGCCAGGCACTACATCAATGTCTACCAAGCTGATTTAGAAAGAAATTCTGTTTTGTTGGAGCTAGCAAAGCTGGATTTCAATCTTTTACAAAGGTTGCACCAGAGAGAAATAAGTGACATCACAAGGTGACTTTATTTATTAATTAGATATTATTATCTTATACGGCTTGGTTTGTTTACAATCTATTATTTTGATTAGATCAGTCCAGTGGTGGCCTGTGGGCCATCACAATTCTTATTTTGATCTTTTTATTTTATTCATCTTTGTATATAGATCATTTATGAAATAAATTAAATTGATATGACAATCATAATCACATAATTTAATTATATTTATATTTAAAAAATAAACCCGAAATATATTTTTAAAATTAGGCCATTGACTACTTTAAAGACACTACATTAAATCTTCACATTTTCTTTATGGAAATTTCAATGTAATTTTTGTTTAATTTTTTTTATCTGTTGTTGATAATCTAATTTTTCAGGTGGTGGAAAGAGAAAGAGATTGCAACAAAGTTACCTTTCGCAAGGGATAGATTGGTGGAGTGCTACTTCTGGATATTAGGGGTTTATTTTGAGCCCAAGTACTCTGTTGTTAGAAGCTTTATGACTAAAATAATAGCATTAGCTTCTGTCATAGATGACATTTATGATGTGTATGGTACCCCTGAAGAACTTCAGTTATTTACAGATGCAATAGAAAGGTATGTGTGCAATTTTAATCCATGATACTTGTAAACTTGTAAAATTACAATTGTACTGGCCACTTCTCGATAAGTATCAGTTCATAGCAGCTTAATCATGAGCTAATTTACAACCAAAATGGCTAGTTCATAGTTGATCATTACACCTGGTTCAACTGCTTGCAACTGGCGGCTTTAAAATTCACACCCACGACACTAGATTTTTATATATATCACTTGATACTTCTGATACCGTTACACCGTGATTGATATTAATACGTCTTCTTCTGATTAAAAACATGACATCACTAATTTCATAGGTGGGAAGAAGCAGCTATCAGTGATTTACCTGAATACATGCAAGTTTGCTTCGAGGCACTCTCAGATGTCATGAAGGAAATGGAGGACAAGATAACAACCCACGAGGGGAGATCCTACCACATATACTATGCAAAAGAAGCAGTAAGTAATTAAAATTTTCTCTCATCCAAACAAGACTATCTTTAACTTAGTTTTTCAGCAAAATAGCTGTCTAATACTTACATTTGTGTGGTTTTCTTCAGATGAAAGGTCTAGTTAGAGCCTACTTTGTGGAAGCAAACTGGTTTAACACCAAGTATATGCCTACATTTGAGGAGTACTTGAGCATTTCTGTGATGAGCAGTGGTTATCCTATGCTGGCTGTTCAATCCCTTGTTGGCATTGGAAAGATTGCAACTAAGGAAGCCTTTGATTGGGTGCTTAATGTTCCCAAAATTGTGAGGTCTTGTGCACTAATTGCTAGGCTGGTTGATGACATCCAAACTCATAAGGTACCTCACAATATATTGAGGTCAAATAATGATTTTTAAATATCAGCCTATATTCATAATCTATATAACTAGTTCGACTGTTATAAATTTTTTTTTTGCAAATGATTTTAAAAATTTTACTACCATGATACCCAATTTCCAATCTGTATCGGTTTTTATTCTCGATACTATTATGCTACAAGTGATGCAGTTACGTTTGTTAATGTCTAACTCAAATATAAACTCAGATCTTCTGTCAATGTCTTTTTATATTGTCTGTCTTAAGTCATCTTTGTATCATACAATTGATCTCTCTAACCTTGTGATGTGGTAGAGAGAAAACAAGAGGGCATAAGAGATTTGGACAAAGATCCTTAGCGAAATACAATAGGACAATATTTCTTTTGACCCAAATATTGTCAACCCTAAAAGCGTGTGTGGCTTGTCGAAATCTAACGATTTTTTCTCTAAATTTTGAAGGTTGAGCAAGAGAGAGGGGATGCACCTTCGGGTGTGCAATGCTACATGAGGGAACACGGTATGTCTGAGGAAGAAGCATGTGGGAAAATAAGAGAAATTGTGGAAATTGCTTGGAAAGACATCAATGAAGAACTCCAAAACCCTAATAGGCTCTTTCCTCTGCCTCTACTATTACCAACTCTTAACCTCTCACGTATGATGGAAGTCATTTATAGACATGGTGATGGTTACACTAATTCAAAAGGTCGAACCAAAGATATCATCATCTCAGTGCTTATTAATCCCATCTCCGTGTAATAGTTTTCTTTATGTATCGAAATAAGACTAAAAATAAATAGGGGGATTTGGTCATAGCCCCTTCACTATCTAATTTCTCTTTCAAAAGGATAAGAATTATATAAGTACTTTCAAAATCCCCTGATATTTTAAAACTTGTTTCTTTTACTATATTACCCTCATATCTATCAGCTCTCCTATTAAGACATTTTCACTATGTATTTCAGAGTAAAATTTTACTCTGTATGAAAGTAAAATTTTACTCTCTGAAACTAAAGTAAAATTTTACTCTGTATGAAAGTAAAATTTTACTCTGAATGAGAGTAAAATTTTACACTCTGAAACTAAAAGTAAAATTTTACTCTGTATAAAAGTAAAATTTTACTCTGAAAAATGAGTAAACTGTGAGACTCTGAAGCTAAAAGTAAAATTTTACTCTGTATAAAAGTAAAATTTTACTTTGGTTCTGTCAAATGAAAAAAACAGAGTAATAGAGCCAGAGTAAAATTTTACTTTGGTTCTATCAAATGAAATTTGATGTTTACTCTGAAAAATCGATGGAACTTTGAGCTATAATCCTTGAATCAAGCCTATAATTCTTGAATCAATCGATGTTTACTCTGAAAAACATTGAATTATGCCTATAATCTTTGAATCAGGCCTATAATCTGAAAATTTTAGAGAAATCTCAATTTTTCATACCCCGATTTTTCAAATTTTTCAGATTTTCAGGTTTTTCAGATTTTTGAAACTTTGAACTTTCAAAAATCTTGAGATTTTTCATACACACAGATTTTTCAGATCTTTCTTTAAATCTTTGAGCTTTTGAGTTCGAATCAAATAATCGCCGAGACCGATCTATGCAATCATTCAAATCTCCGATCTTAAAGACTCAAAACACACATATATATAGATATATATATATATATATATAGATTACAGATCGGAATAGAGAGATCGTCGGAGCTTAAGAATGACATAGCTCCGGCCATGGAGGAAGCTAGGGTTAGAAGTGAGAGATGAGAGAGAAGATAAATTTTGTATCTAGATTATGTATATGTGAGGGTATAATAGTCTGATAAAATATTTAAATAATAAATTTTGTCCTTTATGCAAGACTTTATAATTATGAGGGGGTTTAAAAAATATAATTTTTTTCTTAGTCCTTCTAACAATGAAAAGAAGGTAAAAAGAATTTATAGCTAAATTTCCCAAATAAATAAGACATTTCATCTAATAATAGTCAAATTTCGTTTTCAAATGTGAGTCTAATCATCAATTGTTGAATGCTGACAACACTTTTTATTGAATAGGAAATTGTAATTTAATCTATGTAGTGTGTTTGGATCATGATTACATTACAATTCATGTTAACATGAAGGAGAATCTTACTTAGCCTCCGTTTGGGAAGTGGGTTGGCTTTTTGGCTTTTTGGCTTTTTGGCTATTTTAGCCTGGGCTATTTTAGCCTGGTTTGGGAAGGGCTTTTGGCTTTTTGGCTTTTTTGACTTTTTTTGTGAGAGGGGATTGTAATGATTATGGGTTGGATTTGATGTTTTGTTTTTTGTGGCTAAAATAGCCTATTTTGTTTTTTGTGGCTATTTTAGCCCAAACCAAGTTCCCAAACAAAGGCTTACAAGCTTAAAAAAAATAATAATAATAAAAAAATTAATTAATTATCTAAAGTCCTATTTACAAATATTATGGTAATTTAGGTCCTATTTAAGAGTTTTTGAACCAATAAGTCCTATTTAGTAAAACTAAGAATATTATCAGTTTTTCTTAATTTTTAAAATTAAGAACATTATTAATTTTTCATAGCAATATTCTAGATAATTTTTTCACTAACTGATAAAAAAAACAGAGTATGAGATTAAACGTTTTTATCTTTCTACTTATTAGTTTGATTTAACTATCCAATAAAATTGAGAATATTAACAGTTTTTTTCAGTTTTAAAACTGAGAACATTATCATTTTTTTATTTTTAAAGTTTTTTTTTTTTTACAGTTTTGCACATCAATATTACATCATCATGCTCCTTTATAGACACAAAATTTTCAGTTTTAAACAAAAAATTAATTCAATTTTTTTAAAAAAAAATTAGTTTTTTTTTTTTTTTTGCACATAATTTTTTTTTAGTCTTTTTCAATTTGAAAGTTGATGTCTTAAAGTTTTGAAAATCAAAATAAATGTCAAATTATCATGTTCCTTTATAAAAAATCATAAATGATGAAGAATCATTGTTTGAAGAGCAATTCTAATTATTAAAAATTTAATGGGACTTGATGGTCTAAAAAATCTTAGTTAAGACTTTATGAAGTATTAGTTCATAAATCAGACTTGTGTACAAATGCCCCAAAAATAATTTAATTTTTCTATTTTTTTCAAAAAAAAAAACTAAATTTTTTTTTTAGTTTTTTCAATTTGAAAGTTGATGTTTTAAAGTTTTGAAAATCAAAATAAATGTCAAATCATCATGTTATTTTATAAATAATCATAAATGATGAACAATCATTGTTTGAAAGACAATTCCGACTATTAAAAATTTAATGGAACTTGAAGATTTAAAAAATCTTTGTTAAGATTTAATAGAGTATAAATTTATAAATTAGGACTTATATGTAAATGTCTACAAAAAAAATAAAGCAATTTGTTTTTATAATTATACTTGTTATTTATTTATTTATTTATTTAATATGATGAAATCAAGAATAAATAAGGAGAAATAGTGAATGTTGTTCTATAATTAATCATAATATAAAATATTTTAGTCATTAAATTAATTAATAGTTTTTAATAATGTTAAAATTTTATTTCAATTAATAATTTAGATAATTTTATTATTATATAGCTGAACAGTTAGAAATTTTACTCTTTTTTTTAATTCTGTTAAATAAAAAATTCTAATGAAAAGATATTTGTAATTTTTTAAACTATAAAGGGCAATTCGTATTTTAAGTAAAGTTTAAAGGTATATTTATAATTTATCCCAAAAAAAAAGCAAGTGAAGCTATTTTTTATAAATAATTATCTTCGTTCTATCTTCAATGAGTCCTATCATTTTGGCAATCTTTATATATAGATGTAGAAAACTTATCTGATGTAAATTCAAAAGTGAACCTATTTTTTTAATTAAAAAAATATTTTTTATAATCTAAACAATCATGCCCCTACTAACTTCATGATAAATAGGAAAATGCATAAATCATATGGTAATTATTTTAATTTTTATATCATATCACTCTCTTTTTGCCATCATTTGAAATTTTCTAATATAATTATTATACATATATAATGTGTACACGCCGCTTATATATATATATATATATATAAATAGCAAAGGTCGAGGGATTTAAGGTAATACTTGTTGAGAGGATAATTTGTGTGAAACTTGGGCCGAGCTGTAGGCCGAGGTGAATGGGCATTGTAACTGGATCCTGTTAGCTCGGTCAAGAATGGTTGTGATTAGCTCGGTTGGAGTATTTTGAACCAAGGCATGGATGAATGAGGACCGAGCTAGGCATTGCTCATGAATGCACCGAACTGGGTGTCTCAGAATGCTAGAGATAGCTCGGTTGTGCTGTCATTCTGCCATGGTAAAACCATTCCACTTGGTTAAGCGGTGGGGAAGGTGTAGAAAGATGAGCATTATCTTTCTTATTCCTAGGAGGACTCTGCTAAAAGAGAGTTGAAGTCCTACTAGAATTGTGCCATGTGAACTTTATAAAAGCTCGTAACATGATCTATGTACAGGTATCACAATTTTGACTCTCAAATACATAGAGTTTTTGTCTATTGTCTATTTGCTGACTTAGGCATTAGAGAGGTATCCGGCACACACTCGCCAGCTAGCTCACGTTTGTGTTTTCGAAAAGTAAAGCGACGACGTTTAGAGAAGTGCAAACTTGATCAACAGGATTATACGAGAAGATTATTTCGTGCTCGTTCAATTGGCGTCGTCTGTGGGAATTGCACAAAGAACAAAACCTTTCGATCGAGTTTTCCTTTTTAGTTGAAATCAATGGCGTACAATGAGGACTTGCCACAATTTGCTATTGATGGGCAAACCCTGGAAGGGGGTGGGAGGCGTGAAGGTTTACCTTATATCCCACCAATGGCAGAATTAGAACCCCAGCGACGAAACTCCCGACTGGACACACAGGAGAGACGGGGCACTAGTCCTCGTCGTTCTCAAAGTCCTGAAAGACAGAGGCGGAGGTTGGATTCCCAAGTTCTGGAGGATCGTGTGAGGGAGCAAGACGAGTTAATAAGGAGAATGCGGCAAACATGGAGGTAATGAAATGCCAGATCAAGGAAAAAGGGTTAGCGACAGAAGAGGGGCACAAAGGCCACACGCCCCCTTACCACTCGGAAGATCCTGACAGGCATGCCATACCATCACAAGCAGAAAGTAGGAGCCTTAGAACAGGTGACACTCAATCAAGGACTTCCAGGACTCGTTACTCTAGGTCTGAGAGAACGAGGACTAAAAGGTCATATACAGAGGGAAGCAGCTATCACCCCTCGTACACGCACCAAATCACATCTAGGCATACGGAGTTGCCTAGGTCAACAGACTTGTGAACAGTGCTCGAGGAAAGGGCCCGATGGAAGGAGGACACCAGGGCTCATGACCCACACAGAGTTTCAACCCTACAGCGATTGACCCCTAGGACACATGGGAGTGTCAAGGTAGGGATGTCAATGTCGCGCCTTGCTTACGAACTAGCAAATAAAGTGTTAGCAAGGTTACAAAGCTCGCCGTTCGTTTCGACAATTGAGAACGCACCACTACCCTCAGGGTTCCACCAGCCCAAATTCACCACTTATGAAGGGAAGTCAGGCTCCTACATGCACTTAAACCACTTTCGCCAAATTATGGCAGTATACCGGCAAAACAAAGCTCTAATGTGTATCCTGTTTCCATCTAGCCTTGGCGACCTAGGTCTAACCTGGTTCGAAAGGCTGCCAGAAGGCAGCATAGCCTCATGGGCACAGTTGGCAGAAGCGTTCGTGGTTAGATTCAGAACAAATACCAAGACATCAGTGGAGATTGACTAGCTACTCTCCATTGACATGGGCGAAAAGGAGACATTAAGGTCCTACAACAGTTGCTATTGGGAGACCTTCAACCAGATTAGGGACTGCCCTACAAATCTCGTCATCGCACAATATAAACAGGGTTTACTAGTCGGCAACAAATTGAAGGACTCAATGACAATGATGTCACCCCTCAT